CCCCCCCCCCCCCCCCCCCCCCCCCCTGTGTCTCGCACGGGCTTCGGAAATGCCATCCATGCCAAAATTTTAACACACAGCCCGCTGCTTCGTCGAGAGGTGGTGCTAGCGCTGGGGTTGCTCGTGCTGAACCCCGCGCACTTTCCGTTCTTCGTGACGGTTGCGCAAGAGCTCGCCATCAACCGAGCGGCGGCGGCTGCGGCGGCGGCGGCGGCGAGAAAAGAAGCGGCCCGTCGGAAGGGCGGGAAGGGCTCCTCGTCGAACGGTGGCGGGAGCCAGAGCAGCTGCCGCGCCGAATGCGGCGAAAGCAACGTTAGCCCGCAACGCCAGAGCGGGAGCAGGGGTAGCGCCGTCGCCGGCGGCGGCGGGCTCGCGGGCCGCCTGTCAACGAGCCCGCCCCTGAGGAGCTCTCGCTGGGTGCTGCCGTCGCCGCGACTGTCGTCGTCGGTGAACAGTAGCAGCGGGGTCGCCCTGGGCGGGATCGGCAGCCACGGGGGGGGGTGGAGGGGGGGCGACGCAAATTGTAGCGACGCCGGCGGCGGTGGAACCACTGACGGTTCGACACAGCAGCAGCAGCAGCAGCAGTGGCGTGCTAGGGCAGAGGACGTCAACTCGGTGGCCCGAGGTTTGGTTCCCGGGAAGATCGGATGGGGGGGGGGGTCTGTAGTCTGCGCAGACCGAGAGCAGCAGCAGGCCACCCCAAATCTTAACGAGGGCGTGCTGCAGAGCGTCGGGGCTGAGGCCGCGCAGCACTACGCCGCGCCTGTGTGACGGTCCTGGAGGAGGTGCGGGACATGGACCCGTTTCCCGCACGTAGTGGACGCGGCCGAGGCGGTGATCGCGCCGGTAGCGGAGCAGCTCGAGGCCCTAGCCGCCGCACGCCGCGACCGCCGCCGCACGCGCGGCAGAGGAGGACGGGGCAAGAGGGAAACCGGTCAGGAAAGGGTCGGCCGCAAGCAGTGGCGGCGCCGCCGCCGCCGCCGGTGGCGCGCATGAAGACGCCAAGACGCCGCCGTTGTCCGCCCCGACCAGCCCGCTGTCCCCGCCGCTCTCGGCGGTAGCCGCCGGCGAGGTGGTCCTCGGCTCCAGCGCCGACACGAGGGTGTCGGCATCGTCGTGGTCCTCCTCGTCGTCATTGTCCGGCGTCGGCGGCAGGCAGGCCCGCGGAGTCGGCGGGGGGGGGAATCCCGGGGCTCACTGGGTCGCCAGCTTGCAGGCCGTCCCCCCGGCGGCGTGCGGCCTGAACGAGGCGCACATGCTGCACTCGTTCTACAAGTGGAGCTGCCGGGAGTTCAGCGAGCCGGTGACGCCGCCGCCGGCACCGGTCGTGCCCGACGTCGTCGATCTCGCCGCTCCGGGGAAAAAGCACCAGCAGCACCAGCAGGTGCAGCAGCAGGGGGGCGCCGCTGATTTCTTCGCTGGGCTGAGCCCCGGGCGAGGGCCGGCGGCGGCGTGGGGGGGGGAAGCGGCGGCGGTCGGGATGATGTCCGTCGGGGGGAGCATGGGGAACCCTGCGATGCCGCCGCTGTCGTCGTCTCCGTACTTCGCGCAGCAGTACGAGGAAGACAAGCAGAGCGCCCACGAGGCGAGGAAGGAGCAGGAGCTGCAGCGGCAGAAGCGAGAGCTGCAGGAGCTGCGGGAGCGGCAGCTCCTCCTGCAGCACCACCGGCACGAGCCCGTGGATTCCCTGAGCTACGAGGGAGGGCACCACCTGTACGTCAAGACGAGGAACATCCGCGTCCACGAGGAGGCCGATGTGAGCAGGGCGGAAGGGGTTTGTTGTCGTGGATGCCGCAAACAATCTCTAGCCTCACGAGGGCGGTTGCATATGCATACGGCAGGAGGGGTGTTGTTGCGGAGCTCCTCTCTCGCCCATGCGGTGCCGTGCAGCAGCGCTCATCTCTCGATGTGTTGGGGGGGGGGGGGGGGGGGGGGGGGGGCA